TGGAGGAGAGATGCCCCCCTGGATGGAGAGAGAGGGAGGACCAGGGCTGTGTGCCAGGCAGGTGACCTCTCCTCCTCCTCCTCTGGGCTGCCCTTCTCCTGCAGAGAGAGCCACCGACAGCAACCTGGCTTCTGCTTCTGCTTCTGCTTTTCCTTTTGCTTCTCTAATCCATCCTGGCCCTTGGATGCCTGGCCATGCATGGGGAAGACACGCAACAACAACAAACATCACACGGAAAGAGATAATAGGACTTTGGGTTGTATCTGTTCCTATGGCATGCTGTGTGTGTGTGTGTGTAGAGTCACATTGCTTAAGTCCAAAACTGGTTCAAAATTTGAACCAAGGACTTTCCAGCTCATGGCACACCTTCATAGGGAAAACACAGATGCTGACTCATAGACTTCCCAGCAATCTAAGCATTGGAGTGGGAGCTATTTCATGTACCATGGAAGTGCATTAGCTTGCTGTCTGGCTGCCTGGCCCTTCTCCACATATGCCAGGCAGATGTCCACAGATTTTGTAAAGAGGCATACATACATGTGTTAAGCTTTTATTGTAATCCACTTGCTCTCCACATCAGCTGCTCCAGAGATATGGCAGACATGTTGCTATGGGTACTAGGGAGTAAGAATCCATCACAGCTAGCTTTAGCTTTTGCAGCCATAACAATGGTCAAACTACAGAACTGTGACCTCCTTCCTCTGACCCCTTTTGCCAGAGGATCAAGTAAAAATAAGCACAGATGTATTTATGCATGGATGTCTGTGTGTATGCAGCAATGGACTATAAGCCAAGGCCACTCAAAAATGTTATGTTGTTGTTGTTGTTGTTGTGTGCTTCAAGTCATTTCCAATTTATGGCAACCCTAAGATGAATCTATCTTGAGGTTTTCTGGGGCTGAGAGTATGTGACTCAACCAAGGTTGCCCAATGTGTTTCCATGGCTGAGCGAGGAATTGAACTCTGATCTCCAGAGTTGTATTCCAATGCTCAAACCTTTGCACCACACTGGCTTACATTTAGCTTCTGCCTTACGTCATTTACATTTAGCCACTCATTTCTCTCACATGGACTCCCAAATAATAATTTTATAATGTGCTGTGGACATAAACAAGTATGTTGGGCACACACACATGCACATGGACTGCAACCCAACCAAGCTGGATGCTATATTCATGTGCCATTTACATAGTGGTACTGCATCTTTTGTATAAAGCAACAACATAGATATTACGTAAGATGCACCAGGCAGTGAACAAGGCTTTTCCCTCTGGCTCAGGGGCAAAGTGGGAAAGGGGGAGGGCTGGTGCAGGAAAGTCCTCTACCTTATCTGCATTTGAAAAGAAGTTTGCTTAGAAGGAAAGATGTGGATTTCAAAGATGCTGATGCAACAGAGGCCCACTTACTCCTTCAGATAAAAAGGGTGAGTGAACTTTGTAGTATGTTACTGTATGAAAGTGTTAGGTCAGCTGGAAGGGAAATATGGGGAATATATTACAAAGTGAAGTGGTTACATGTAATTACCAAGCGTAGTCAGCCAGAAGCTCAAAATAAAGAGGAAAGAGTGTACTCTAAACACATCTTAATAATAGTCACCTCAAAGTGAATGGAGAAAGAAAGCTAAACAAAAATAAATCTCTTAGGCGCTGAAAGGGCATGACGAGAGACTACAGAGCCAGAACAGGGATGGCTGAATTGCATTAACCCTCTGGCCTGGCTCTGCAAGAATGACAAAAACAACATGCAGCTAAGTCTCAAAAGCAAGCTATTCAGCAGGTATAAAAAGAAATATTAGCAAAAAATATATATCTATATCTTAACAGAAAAAGAAAAGGTAATGCTCCTAATAATGGACCTAAATACCCTAAAGGCACCAGATTTCACATGATCTAGCTCTGGTTAGTACTTGGATGGGAGACCGTCAACAAATACCAGGTTTTGTAGGTTATATTTCAGAGGAAAAAAACTGGCAAAACCACCTCTGAGTATTTCTTGCCTGAGGAAACCCTATGAAATCCATGGGGTCACCATAAGTCGACAGTTGAGTTGAAGGCAGGCACACGCGCACATGTACACACACACCTCCCCTAATCTTAAGCAATGTGGGTCTGCTTTAAAGGCAAGGGAAAAGAGCTTGGAAAATTTACCCTTTGAATGGCCTATTCTGGGAATTGTAGTCTAAAAGGTAAATTTTTCAAGCTCTGATAAAGGTTAGTAAAATGTCAGAAAGCCAGAAAGGAGTATATATTGACATAGAACTGGCAGGTGTGAATTGAAAGGACTGAATGCTAGGGCTTGACATTCTCCGTGTCAGCAATAAAAATCCTATTTGTATATTCTCCATGCATTCAATAAACATGCAGAGGTGGGTCTGTACCCATACACTGATATCCAACCATTCAGTAGGATATGTGAAAAGGAGCACCTACTTGTGTACAGTCCAGAAGATAACGTGTGTGTGTACAGTCCAGAAGATAATCCGACAACATAATAATGTAATGCCAACTTTAAAAAGCAAGATAAAGGAACTAAATTTAATATACATCTTCAGAACACAATTCTATGCTTGAGGTTCAAAATGCAGCTTGCATTCTATACTCACTCCATTTGCAAGAGTACCAGGAAAAGTGTAACACACTGTTGTCAATCCCCTTCAGCTTTGTAATAACTGGTAATAGTGAATAGTATAATAGTGAAGCCTGATATGTACATTTAGTACTTAAATCTTTGTTCAAATGCCAAATATCTGCCCAATCTTTACACCTATTTTCAGAGAAGGAGGGATAGGAAAGACTGAATTGCTTTATTTGAGACATATGTCCAACACATACTGCAGAAATAATTCAGTTTGAGACCATTTTAACTGCCCTGGCTTGGTGCTAGGGAATCCTGAGAATTGTGGCGCCAGAGTTCTCAGACAGAGAAGGCTAAATGTCTCAGAAAACTACAGTTCCCAGAATTCCCTACCACTGAGCCAGGGCATTTAAAGTGGGCTTAAACTGCAGTGTGTTTTGGACCAATGTGTCCCAAACATTGTAGATCATTACTAATAATTAGTATTCACATAGCATTTCTGCTTGTTCTAAGAGCTTCCTGGTACATTAACATCCCCATCCTTACATTAATCCTAACTATTCAAAGAGGCTCTAATTATTACTCCACACTGAGGGGGAAGTTAAGAGAAAGAATAAGAGAAAACAGTGACTTTAATTTCACCAATAAAGATTCAACAGTCCTCTACTAAGCATTTTATACTACACATTTTGTTTCTTTATAATTTGAAATAAGTCCCAGTGTGATCCATAAGACTTACTCTCAAATAAATGTGCAAGTAACTGCTGCCAAAATCCTCAGCTTCTTCAAACCACATCTAGGCAAACTATAGAATTGATTATCACAGGATATAATTTATATACTGTTTTTTATCCCAAGGAAGTCCAAAGGTGGTTTATAGAAAAATATATCAGAACAACGACAAAAGCAATTAATTGGCATGTCCTTTTGAGGGAACAATAGTCAGAGACAGCTATTGCTCTCCACTGCTGGCTGTGGGTTTTCTACAAGAATCTGGTTGGGAAACTCAATGCTGGATAACATAGGGGTTTTAATAATACATTTCTATATCAGCAGGTGATTGGATGAGATTAGCTTTCTGCAACCTGGTACCTTCCCATGAGACCCGGTCAACACCGGTCAACATAGCCAAGAGATAATAGAGATAGGAATTGTAGGCCAAAATATCTGGCAGGCATGAAGTTGCAGCAGACTAGAGGTTAGATAATGTTGAGGATCATCCTAGCTTTATGATTCCTTTCATTTTCTTTTGCCATTCTGATTATGAGAACAAATATGAAGAACTATTTCCACCATGTCCTGCTTGTGAACTACCACCTTTAAGAGACAATATGTTGGCTCCTTTTCTTGATTTAAGTTGTCATGGCACTTCTTAAATTCTAGAGACTTCCAGATGTTGTTGAACTGCAACTCCCAGCATTTCTCATAATTGGCTATGCTACAAGGGTTCCTGAGTCTTGCAATCCAACCACATCTAGAAGACAGCATGATTCCCACCTCTGTCCTACAACATAGAAACATCGCTATTATTTGTAAGTGGCTATGCTATCATGCCAGAGTCTACAAGCTTTAGTGTTGTTTTTTCAAAGTTTCCAAGTTCTGTTAAATTCTTGTGTTTCTTGCAGCATATTCAGCCATTATATGAGATCAGTATGGAACTATTTGTCTCATGGAGGAGCTAAATGTTCACAGGTAGCATTTAGATGATCACAGGTAGCATTTACATTAATGAGGCACCACTCTGCTACTATGCTATACAGCAAGGGTTGCCACTTCATTAATAACTTTTCTTCTTCACCTACTGTCATTTCCCAGCTGTCAAGTAGAGACTTCCTCCCTATAGACTTAGAGAAGAAGTTAGGTACTTATCATCAAACCAACACAAGTTACACTTCTCACTGGTGCAGTGAAGTACATCTGACTGAAGTCAACAACATTACTCACATGCTTAAAGTTAAGTGTGTGCTTAAGGGCTCTGCTGGACTAGACCTCACTAACTCATTTCCTCCCCTTCTCACCACAAGGCCCTTTTCAAACACTGCTTTGCTTTGTTTTCTTTTCAGAAAATGTAATGTGAGCAAAATCAAAACAGGATAAAGCAGAAGCGTAGCTTCTCACCTATGAATCATTAACACAGGATAGTGCTAAAAGGATTTAGTGAAAGTTCCTGGAGAATCATTTGGTATCCTGTGGTCTTTCCTCCTCTATGTAAACGATTTCTATGTCCTGTGTTAATGTGACACTGTACTTATCCAAACTGTGTTGGGCACTGAAAGAGCCCCAATTGCCACTTGGGGACTCAGAGTTGTCAAGAGCGCTTACTGTGCTTCTAAGTGAATACCTTCCACACATCCTTTCAGCCACTGCTGTGAACCTTTGCTGATGAAGAGAGACCATCTATTTGAAGGCTGCTCAGCAAGCAATGGAGAGCCAGTGTGGTGTAGTGGTTTTAATGCTGGATTACGACTCTGGAGACCAGGGTTTGTATCCCTGGTTGTTCATGGAAACCTACTGGGTGATCTTGGGCAAGTCATACACTCTGATCCTCAGAGGAAGGCAAAGGCAACCCCCTTCTGAACAAATCTTGCCAAGAAAACCCTGTGATAGATTCACCATAGGGTTGTCATAAGTTGAAAATTACATGAAGGCACACAACAACAACAACAACAAAGCAATCAATCAACATCCTTTCCAGTTGCGCCTATGTTGGAAACTATACTGTAATGCTTCTGCCCTATCCTTCAAACCAATATATCACGTGAATATGAGAAGAAGAGAACATTTATTTCATGATAATGACATTAAAAATGGGAGGGTGCAGATTTTAAAAGAGGTACAGTCTGGTTGAGGAACCTGTGGAGAGAACAAAAATGGAATGGAAGCTGATGTGTAAGCTGAGACTTATACACAGCTCAGCCCCACTATAAAGATAAAATGTGGGGGAGGAAACTATGTACACCAGCCCGTGCATCTCAGAAACAGGTTGGGATGGGATGGTAAAGAGGCAACCAATTAATATTTTAATCCAACTACAAGGCTTCCAATTTCTGAGTTCCCCCACCTCACTAGAAGCCGGCAATGATACATTGGGTCAGGAAACTGTACATGATAGGTGTAGTTCATAGCTGAGGATGGGAAAACTGCCGCAGGGATGGCATTATCAGTATCATCTACACCTTTACTACTTAAACTGGTGGTCCCTGCTGCCAGCCTGCAAGTTATTGTCTGATGGACCATGGAGAATCTCCAGGAAGGGAAGAAACAGTTGTAACAAGTGGGCACAAATATGGTACTAGGCCATGGTACATTGGGAGAAAAAATAATTATTGATAGCCCACATCAGATTGCTGAAGAGGCACTGATCTACATGGCAAGAAAACCATGTAGATGGGCTTTTACCTTCAACCTAAGGGGAGACGGATGATTCCAGTTTATATAAATCATTAAATATGTTATTATTCTGTGTTCTCTGTGGCCTGATTTATATAAGACTTGGTTTATGGAGAAAGCCTTTATCCATGTAATTCTTTTTATATTTACTCTATCATAATGAACATTGATTTGCATGCAGGCATTGCCAGTTTCAAACCTTGACATATATAGATAGGAATGAAAAATGCTTCAGTCTGAAATCCTGTAGTGCTTCTGTCAGTCAGTAGACCACACTGAGCTAGAAGATGCACCAATAGAGTAAGACAAAATAAAGGAAATTCTTATGTTCCAATGATCCATCCATGTGTTACTGTTAGCATGCCAAATAACAGGCATGGCCTAGGTGGGTACACAACTAATATGGTGATGTTACAGGCACATGGACAAGCAAGCATAGAAAATGCATTTATACATAATCTGGCAGGAATAGAAAGTTTACACAGGCTGGGACTTTATGCATCAGCATAAATGTTCTGGAGTTAGGGATAAGCTGTGAGGTGGCCAAGTTTGCTGCCAACAGCAAATTATTTAGGATGGTCAGAGCCAAAAGAGATTATACAGAGCTCTAAAATGATTTCTGTAAACCAGGGAAATGGCCATTAACAAGTCGATTGCAGTTGAATGTACACATTCCAAGTTATTTGATGGACTGTATCTCCCTTTATGAGCCGATTAGTGCTGAGATCAATGGGAGAGGTCCTTCTCTCTGTGCCATCATCCTCTTGGCCTCATTTGGTGAGAACAAAGTAGATGGGCTTCTTGATGGCTGTTCCCAGACTTTAGAACTCCCAGACTTTAGAGTCCAAGATGGCCCCATCCCTGATCTCCTTTTGGTGGCAGGTAAAAACATTTTTTGTGCTGTCAGTCTTTTTCACACCGATGAGGCTTTTAAATGCTATGTAATTCAGATACTAAGGTTTGTATATAGTTTTTAGTGTTTTTTAACTTGTTCACTTGTTTAATTGTTTTTTAAACTTTTTATCTACATTTTAAGGCTTCTGTATTGTTTTTAACTTGTACTGTTTTAAATTTGTTGTTAGCAACCTTGAATCTCTGTATCAGGAGAAAGGCAGGATATAAATTAATAATAATAATCTCTTATAAAAATCTGTGGAGCCAGATGATTTGAAATAATGTGTACAATGCTGGTGAGTGTACCCACTTTCCAAAAAAGATAATGTAAATTTGCAAAAAAGGGTTAGAAAAATTATCAAGGTGCTAGAGGGATTTCCTTCTGAAGAAAGGTTACAACACTGGCTAGTATTTAGCTTAGGAAAAAAGCTTTATTAAACTTTGCATGATGTAAAAATAAATGGATTGGGAGATATTTTTCTCCCTGATAATAGAGCCTGGGGTCAGATATCTGTGAAAAATAAAAAGAAGGAATTCTTCATGCAAAACATAGTTAAACTATGTCTATTATCACAAGATATAGTAATGACTACTGTTTGTTCAGTTGTGTTGTTGTTGTTGTTGACTGCCTTTAAGTTTTTGACTTATAACTTATGGTGAACCTATCACAGGGTTTTCTTGGCAAGATTTGCTCAGAGGTCAGTCAGTGGGTTGCCATAACCAAGCGGAGATATGAACCCTAGTCTCCAGAGTTGCAGTTCAGTATTCAAACCACTATACCACACTGGCTCTGAATTGCTTGCTTACCAGCTTCCAAATGGATGGTCACTCTTCATCAGCCAAAGGTTCACAGCAGTGGCTGAAAGGGTGTGCAGAAGGTGTTCACTCAGAAGCACAGTAAGTCTTCTTGCTAGCTTTGAGCTTCCAAGTGGCAGCCCAAGCTGTTTCAATGCCCAACTCAGTTTGGACAAGTGCAGTGTCACATTAAC